ACGATTAAAATATGGTAACAAATGTCAACTATGTTAAAAGTGACAGGCGCCTACTTTTTGAATACGTCAAATTTAACACCTAGCGGTGAGTAAACTCCCTTTGCATTTTGTAAATTTATTAGAAAACTAATCATTTTACATAAAAAATGCAAGAGACAAAAAAATTTCTAAATTCAATGGTCTTTCTAAAAATCTTATGATATTTGCTGTATCTTTGCAGAAAAATTTTTTTTGGCAAAAAATAGGATACAGGGTGATAAAAAAACACCCTTCTGCTTTCTCGATTTTATTCATATCCGCATTATTTATTGATTTCCTAAAGCTGATTAGCCCCTGAAAATTTCATTAAGTTTTCTTTTTCCAACAAAGAGTTACGTCATAAAAACTACTTTTATAGTTGCACCTTTGAAGGTCTGTAACTTCAAAATGGTGCGTTTAAGAGGTTATGTTTATTAGAGTTTTTAGTCATATTTTTTTATGTACTATCACCACCCAAAGTTTGTAACATACTTTACGGGACACCCTGTATATGGAACCAAAAACCATGAACTTCTGTATAATACACCAAAGAGCCATCGTCTTCTATATTGAAGAACATTTGGTACTCCTTCCTGGTACTAACAATATTCGACTCTTTAGCAGTCAAAAATCCACCGTATTTTTTGGAAGTCCTATTTTTCTTATCAGATCATTCAAATATTTATGATTTTAGATCTGAACGTTTTGTTTTACCTGCCGGTAGTATTCGTCCTCACTTCCATCTGTTTCAGTCTGAGTCTTCCGTTTTTACTTCAACATTGTCTCTGTTCTGAAATCCCTCTTCCTCGGACTCGGCTATAACAATCAATCAATCACTGCTGGTCTTCATCAGTGAAGGAACACTTAGGCATAGTATTTTGTACACTGTTACAGGTCGTTCGAGTGCAAAAGAGTACATTACAACCATAAAAAATAGTTGGAGAGACTAAACTGGGACTTATTATTTCTGACTCTTTTTCTTATATAGGAGGAACCAAGAAACTTAACCAGTGTCAAATTTTCTGAATTTGTTACTAATTTTTCTCGAAAAAAATTATCTCCCTTACCCATCCCCCATTGAAGTTGACCCATTCGGCCATCTTATCCTCCAGCAGCTCCGTCATGTCATCCAGGATGCTGGGTAGCTGCTCGTGGTGGCTGTACCGCACGCAGTCGACGGCGAGGGCACCGGCCACGGTGAAGACGGCCACCACCTTGCCCCAGGTGGGTTCGCGCAAGAGGTAGTGCCCCACCGCGAGGAGGATGCCGGAGACGCCGTTTCCATGCAGGAAACCCGTCTGTCTCGTCACGTTGGTGTACAGTTTGGGGTACATTCGCTCCAGTTCCAAACAGGCACATTGCAGACCTGAATAAAGTTAAATTACAATATACAGTGTAATTATAAGTAGGGGTCAGTATTTTAAGGGTAATACCAATTTGAAATTATTTCTCTTAAATCAAATATTAATCTAGTCACGAATAGTTTCCGGACTTGTATCAAAAAATCATGTCACTGTCGTCTCAGGGTGTGAAAATTGGACCAGGTTAGAATTAATGAGTGATCAGGCCTATTCAGCTTAAAAAAGGTTAATTTATTACCCGCACCATTTTTTTTGTCAGAGAAAATTAACAGACCTACTTGGTTCTATCCTACTTTTCATAATTTAGTATTCTCTTTAAGTATGTGCACAGGCTTGCAATAATTGACGGAAAAAATTGAATACCAAAAATTATTACCTGGAAAAACATCTCTGACGACAGTCCCACAACCGGGCATGGTTCCCACGGCGCTTCGCACCCTGGTTAAGCCGAGTTTTCTGTTGAAGACGCCAGCCCGTTTCAACCTCGTCCTTATATACAGGCTGCACAACGCACGACCTACCGCCACTACTTCCTCGGGAGGGTTAGCACCTGCAGCACTTCTCCATCTATAAATCAAGAAAATCGGCCAGTAACAAACACTGAACATTCTGTATATTATTTTTTTCTTTATCATACAAATCCAATCATTTTCTTAATGCAATATGCAATAAATATAATATGTATATTTGGATACGTTGAAAGAGCTGGTCAATTTTTTTCTAAGTTCTATAAAAACACACTTCGATATACATATTTACAAAGTGTTTTATTGAGCCTCTAAATATGTCCAAGTATCTCGAAACTACAACTACGAAATATTCTGAAGGACCAGAAAGATTCCGAAACACCTCGAAATTTATTAAAACAGATTCACGATGCTTCAAACCAGTTACAGGCCACTCCAGAATAAAGTGAAATTCCTCAAAGTAGCCTTAGAATCTTAAAAAATCTGTAAAATATATTTGAAAATACATTGAAACGAGTCCTGACAGCATCAAAGATGATCAAAACGTTTTTAGACTACCAAATATGCGTCAAAGTAATTTCATAATTTAAATGTCAAAGAACTAAAGGTCACACCAAAGATGAAAGACCAATGGTGGAAGGTCAAACCAGAGGAGGGGGGCAAAAGCCAATGGTCAATGAACAAAAGTCAGAGTTTAATGGTCGAAGGTCAAATATCAATAACCAGAGATCAAATGTCAACAACAGAAGATATGAATAGACCGACCGGTCAAAGATCAAAATTCAATCTCAAAAGTTAAAATATTTTGAATTATTTTTAAGTATGCCAGTCATTTAAGTATTTTTGGAATAGGTATTTTGAAAATTTCAAAGTATTTCGACGTATTTAGTGATCCCAGAAATTTTTGACCAAGTTTTTTTCTACGTAGGTAGTTCTAATGCGATTTTGACATATTTAATATACTTTGAAGTTGGTTTAATATATTCCAAAAGATCTCACAGAGAACTTGAAAAATGTTTATTCTTATTTTATCCATTCTAATAATTTTTGAAGCAGTTTCGAAGCATTTTGACCCATATTAGAGCTGTTCTGATTTATCTTTTAATATTCTAAAATTGATTCGATAAATTTGGAATATTTCGAAGCTATTTTGATGCAACCTGAAATTATTATAACCTAACCTAATCAAAGGCGGGTTTCCCTTAAACAGGAACAGTGGGCTAAATTAAAATAGGGGTCTAGTCTAAGGTAAAAGGGTCTATCCAATCAGCAGAGCAACCTTAGACAATTAGATAACTCAAGACAAGTTCGAACTTTGGGAATGTCAAAAAAATTGAATTGCCCTTGAAATTAACTTTTTGCTTGTCCTTTATACAGAGTGTTCTACAAGCTTTGACAGATGGTAGCTGAACTAAATTCAAACATTTTTGCTCATAATGAACATAGGTCCGATTTGTTTTTGTTTAGAAGTTATAAGCATTTATTTTAAAAAATATAATTTCACATTTCAATCAAAGTAGCCTGATAAATAAAAATGATAGTTGCTATAACAATTGCTAATTATTATTATTTGTGTTTTGTTTATTAAACGAAAACGAATCTGACAAATGTATGTTCTTATAAGAAAAAATATTTCAAATTAACCCAGTTATCTGTCAAAGTTTGTCATAGAGTGTATAAAATACCCTGTATATGTCTCTGACCTCTGATCTATATTGTATAAATATGTAAAAAACTTACCCTTCTAGATGTAGTCCCTTAAAACGAGTTTCTAACATTTTCGAATAGGTACATAATTTAGGACAATTTTATTGTAGATGACTTCAAGAATATATCTAACGATTCTGTTGTAGGTAAACAAAAATAATTCCACTTCATTCAAGATTCAATTTAAAAATCATGTACCTATATATTATGTTGTAATAAATTCGATCCAACTTTTGAAAAAATAATGACTAGGTAAAGGTGGTGTGTAGGTACTAGACTGTAGGTTACCATTTTCTTAAATATTAGTTTCAATTGGCATTAATGAGCTTTTTGTTCATGTAAAAAAATGTAACATAGATAGGCAAGTTGATCGAAAACCGGCAATAAAGAAACAAAAAGGACAGGTCCGTATTCTATATTAACTATTAATGAATGAAAACATATTTTTTCTTTTCCTTTTGCCTAACTTCTGACTTAATATTGTTTGATCACAACAAATTATGACGCACTACTTATTAACCAATCGATATTTAACAATGACGCCTCACCCTATTGTGGTAGAAAGCTTCCTGGAAACGGCATCTCCAACATTGCTGAACCTCCTTCTAAAAGCAGCATGTTCGGAGATGTTGGGCGGTACAGAAAGGGCGACTGGTATGCTCAACTTCCTCTTAGGCCGTATCGGCCCGGGAAATTTTCGGTCACCCAGCCCCCCATGGTTCAACTCCATGATTTCGGCTTCCTGTTTGTCATCTACTGAAACAAACGAGATAAAATGAGTGCTACATATATGGCGAACAATGTAGTGAAATCACAGTATATGTAAACCAGAGAATTCGGATCCTGCACAATTAGCCTAAAATAATGAAAAAATGAGCGAACTTTTTCACTCTTAAGATTTTTTTATAGAAAAATGTAGGTATTGAGGTGAGAAAATTGTCGTACTATCACCCCCTGTATTTACGGGAGGTCTTTCTGAAAAACCTTGTATATTTGATATTTCGCGATTTTTGACAAAAAACTGACAATATCTTAACGAAGATGCATTTTTTCGAAGAAAAGTTTCAAATAAAAGTTGTTCAAAATTAAATTTCCTACAAAATTGCTCTTATTTCGATTTTCCCAATAGTTTTCCTGTATATTTTTTGAATGAAGTACAGATTATGTGAAAATTTAAGTTTTAGATCCAAAATAATGGTCAATTTATTTTTATATAACAAAAGTGAATGAGAGTAAAGAAAATTGTGGAAAATTCTTGGAAAATCTTATATAGTTTTCCGAGGTTTGAATATTTATGAGCATCAAACGTATCATTTTATAGATTCTCGAGGATGTACATTACAAATTAATTATCAGCTTTTTTATATTTTCCAGAAAAATATGTTTTCTTTGAAATTTGGAATATAATGAAATTGAAGATTTAAATTTAATGACAATAGGGAAGGAATTTTCTGGAGTTGCAAAGGTATAATAAAAAAAATATATATCAATAATTTTTTTTTATTTATTTATAATTAAAAAACAACTTTTTTATTTGATATTTTTAACAATTTTTTATGGACTTCCATATCTAGGTTTCTTATGTAAAACTGCTTAATCGTTGTCGCAAAACTGTCTAACAGCTAATAACATTTTGCTACTTTTCAGTACAGTATTTGTTTTATAATCAAAGAAACCTCCCCTTCCAAAGCTTCAGTGCGTTTAATTCCCGCCAATTAGGGAGCGTGTTTAAACTGAAACGCGTGTTTTTTATGATTCCTTATACGGTCTAAAAATAACCGTTTCTATAGTTTTTTTTTTCAAAAATAGGGAGCAATTCTCTAGGTAACGCTAATTTTAGAAACTAATTGGAATAGCAATATTACAATCAATATATGATAATATAAAATCTTTTTTTCTGGGGTGGGTACCGGACTGCTCCCCCTTGCTACACCCATGAATGTGACCCAAGGATATTTATAATACATAAATATCCTTGAATGTGACCAAAGTGCTGTCAACAGAATTAAACTGTTGCTTTACTTACATATGCTGTGGTGAAACTACCTGATGCCGGTACTGTCCAGGAAACATTATGGATTGCCGCGACATCTAACGGCGAGTAGCTGATATTAAATTTGGTTAAACTGTTATAGAAGTCTAAACTCTAAATCGCTCACATTTGTTCATTGTAATTTGGTGGCTTATCTATTTGGCTTGGTATAATGAGGCAATTAATATGGAGTGGAGCGTTTAAATATTTATTTTGGTGCATATTCTTACAGATAAGGCCAAACAAATATTATGCTTCCGATTTTTACCGCGTTGAAAACAAAAGAGTCTAGACAAGTAAAAATAACGTAATTGTATAGGAAACAGCACAAGTAATTTTAATATGAGTACATACTTTTATTATTTCTTGAATCCTTAAAATTGACATGCAGTCGTTGTTACAGAGACCAAAATAAAAGCCGAGGAAAAAAATATTAGACTTGACTTGTAGGTACCAATATTGCAGGCAACTGGTTTTTCCTATAAGTATGGGTTATCAGTGATAAACTTAATTAATATAATCAATGAAAAAATGAAATATATCACACTTATTGCTAAGAATATTGACACCACTATTAAACTAAATAACTTTTGGGTGGTGTATTCAAAATATTGTAGAAAAGCTTTTACTTGCTTTTATACCCTTCTGTAGACAGTTTTGTATTAGGTACTAAGAAATGACTACCGTTAACAAAACGAACAATAGATATCTTTACGATATTTGCGCTAAGAAAATATTATTTGTTTGATTCTGAAATAATGTATACATATCTCCCATGCAATTTTGAAATATTTAATTAATAAATGTATATCCACGTTTCTACTTTACTTCTCCACCTTCAGACTTTAAAATATAATTTAAAACGCATTGCTTCAACACTAGAATATTAAAATTTATTTAAATGTTTCATATTTTGATGTGGTAGTGATTTTAATTTCAAAATATCGCATGATTCGATTTTTAAACTTTAATTACCCAATTTAAATTTCATTTTCGTGAGTGAATACGGCCTTAAAACAATTTTTAATAGATACGTGTATAACTTTATGGTCGTCGGAGAATAACAAATGAAAAATGTGGTATCGTAATGGTTATTACTTTCCCAATATGCACTTAAAATGTCGTTAAAGTTTTATTGAAAATAGCAGCATTAATCTTCCTCTTCGCATGGAAGAAGTTGTACTGGGTGGTCGCTTCTTGACAAAATTTAATTGAAATGATAACGCTTACAATAAAAAACTGTAATTTGAAAATCTATTGTTATTTGAATTAAATAAATAAATAAATAAATAAATGTCGGAAATATGGTGCTTTTCTGAACTTAAGATTCTGATTTCTTCTGCATTCTTGTTCAGAAAAGTTAAGCTTAGCAATTAGCACAAATACCTACATACAAAACATTTTTCTGATTGACATTAATAAACCAAATTAACCTTTTTCTATTTTAAAAAATTAAAAATTTCATATAAATTGTAATTGTTTACACAAACAAAATTGATCGAATCACTTTTAAAGTACATCGAAATAAGGCAAGATACATCAAAATAGTATTAGAAATACGTCGAAAACTTTCAAAAAATTTTTTAAGGATGTCAAAAGCTGAACATTAAATAAATTGGAAATATATTGAAAACTTCAAATTACCTGGAAATACCTTGAAATATTTGAAAAATTACAAAATATCTACTAATAGATAAATGAAATAGACTTCTGAGTTTGGAAACCAATATTAAGAAAACGTATGAGCGAAAAAATTTTAATAAATTTTTCAGATTATTGTTTATTGTTATTTACTACCTGTTACTATTTTTTTAAGAACGCAATATTTAACGCAATAGACAGCCAGCTTCTGTTTCGCTTAAAAATTAAAAAAAGGAGAGGTTTTGAGACAAATAACCTTCACAGTAAATAGCTTGACTTATCGTCAGTAATTTAGTAACCGTGGTTCTTTCAACATTTTCATTAATAACTATAAAATGGGATAACGAAATGTATGAACCCCGAAAAAATATCACTGTAGAATATCACGACCATTTGGCATGCCCAATGATGTAAGCCCTACAGCGTAACCTATATTCCAAATTTCAGCTAAATATCTCAAAAACTGTGGGAGCTATAGAGAAAAAACTAAAAAAATCTTAAAATTTCAACACCCTGTAGATCGGTAACAAAGCGTTTGCGGACCTATGTTTATATGAACTTTTAGTCATGAAATCAGCCAAAGAATTACCCCCTCCTTTATGTACATGATATTTAGGAACACCCTGTATATGGTCTAAATTTTAAATTTCTTCGCACCTACGTTTTCTTAATATCGGTTTCCAAACTCAAGTGTCTATTTCAATTATTTCGGGGGCCAAAGGTCAATGATTCGTAGAGTCAATTGTCAATGACTCCAGAATGAAAGGTTACCCTGACTCTTTGAAGTATTTACAGGATATTTATATTTCAAAGTATTTCCAGGTATTTTGAAATATTTTGAGATATTTCGAGGTATTTGGACCTTTCTCGAAGGGTTTTCTATACTTGTACTAAAGTATTTCAAAGTTTTTTTTTAAGTATTTTGGAACACATATGTATTTTGTGATTTCTTTGATATTTACATGTTTGTAAAAGTTTCCTATGCATTTCTAATACTATTTTGATGTATTGTGCCATATTTGAAATATTTTGAGTGTTCTTGTCAGCTATTTTGAGGAATTTGTATGCTATTTGAAGCGACCTTGACGTATTTTTGTATTCTGAATCAGTTTTGAGAGAATTTAATGTTTTCTGGTGTCATTTCTATATACTTTGCGCAAGCTGTTAGATAATTTTTTAATTATTTTGAAGCTGTTTTGAAGCATAGTGATAATCTTGAAATTATTATGCACATTAAAGCATTAAGATGCATCAAAACAGCTAAATAATAATAAAATTCAAAATTCGTCAAACACTAATTAATACGCCATTAATAGAGCATTCAATCAATGATTTTGTGACAAAAATACTAGTACCAAACGAATTGTGCCATCATATAAAAGGCAGTGTGTAGATATATGCTCAAATGTTTCCTACTCAAATTTACCATTAATTAATTTTTTATATACTTTTTTTTTAGTTTTTTGCTTATAAAACTTAAACTAACGAAGCAATCTGACTGCTATAAGGAGAGAATTTGTAGAGAATCGAAATACGAATAAAATGAGAGGTCGATCGATCCGATCGGATCATTAGAAACGAAGAAAACCCTGAAAAATCGGAAAATTTAGCGGCTTCTTTTTAAATCACTATTCCGCCATTTTTCAAGTTGTAGAGCTGAGTCTATGTACAAAAATAGTGAATTATATGTACTTTAAGTGTGCACAAAGCAGGGACTGTCTTTTATAGGACACAGTTCGTTTGGACTACTATAAACGATCACCCTGTACGAATAAAAGTGCCAAACTGTCTTCTTAATCTCTGAATTCGCAGTGGATTCACATTAGTCCACATAATTAGCATTCGGGTCACAAAACACCGATACTGTATCAATCAAAGTTTCACTACACGATGCGCCCCTTACTTCCAAATATCACAAGTGGCCGTTTCACCTGAACCCACGAATTGGGACGAACAAGCACTCCGTCACGATTTTGATATAGTTAAAAACCTATAAATGTCAATCCATTAACACCTCACGTCACTAACGTTTCTAACAACCACAGAAATGCCATCCGCGACAGTGCTGGCCTTAGTGACGTTC